CTGGGCAGGGACCGCCCGGCCTCTCAGAGAGCCGCATCCCTTTTGTTCCGGGAGCTCTGGCCTCTGCACAAGAAATGCGTTGCTCAGCTCAGTGTTTGAGTGTGACCTGTGCAAGGAGGGACTGCAGGGTCAGCTGCACAGTGCCGTGGTGAGACGGCTTCAGAATACTGCCATGACGGGGGAGTCCACCATCCCCTGGGCCAGTGAGATCTGTGCTTGGTCACCCTCAATTGAAAAAGGGGAAAATGTACAGGAAGTGGAAGCACAGTTGTGTAGACTGGGAGAAATACAAGGACGTTGTCCATATGTGTAGAAATATGATTAAGAAAGCCAAGGCATAGATAGAGTTGAAATTGGCGAGGGATGTGAAAAATAACAGGAAGGTATTCTTGAGGTACATAAGCAGGAGGGGACAGGTCAAGAAGAGTATTTCCCCTTTGGTAAATGAGGATGGAGAACTGGCTTCCTCAGATATGGAAAAAGCTGAGGTGCTCATTAAGTGGTTTGCCTCCGTCTTCACTGGTGGTCAGGCTCCTCCCCATGTCTGCCAGGACCCTGAAGCTCTAGCTGTGAGTGAGAGGAGTGGATTCTGTCCCACCATAACAGTGAAACAAATCTGAGACCTCCTCACAAAACCAAATTTATGTAAGTCCATGGGGCCGGATGGTATCCATCCTAGGGTTCACAAGGAGATGGCTCATGTGGTTGCCAAGCCGTCTTCCATCGTATTTGAGAAATCATGGCTGTCCAGAGTAGTCCCCAGTGACTGGAAAAAGTAAAACATCACTATCATTTTTAAGAAATGGAGAAACGGTGACCTAGGGAACTACAGGCTCGTAGCCTCACCTCTGTGCCTGGGAAGATCATGGAGCAGATCCTCCTAGAAGCCATGTTAAGGCAATCTGGTGGCCTTCTATAATGGAGTAATGGCATTGGTGGACAGAGTAAGGTCGGCGGATGTAATCCATCTGGACTTCTGCAGAGCCTTTGACATGGCCCTTCACCACATCCTTCTCTCTAAATTGGAGAGTTGTGGATTAGAATGATGGACTGTTGTTGGATTAGGAAATGGCTGGCTGGATGCAGCCAAAGGGTTGTGATCAATGGCTGTGTCAGGTCACAAACGGTGTCCTCAAGGTTTCAGTCTTGGGACCGGTGCTCTTTAACATCTTCATCAGTGAAACAGATGATGGCATCGAGTGCACCCTCAGCAAGTTTGCACCAAGCTGAGTGGTGCCATCGATACATTGGAAGGAAGGGAAGCCATCCAGAGGGACCTGGACAGGCTGGCGAAGTGGGCCTATGTGAACCTAAGAAGGGTCACCAAGGCCAAGTGAAATAATGTGTTGCACTTGGGCTGGGGCAATCCAAGGTGCTTATACAGACTGAGAGCAGCCCTGCAGAGGACTTGGGGGTCTTGGTGGATGAGAAGCTGGACATAAACCAGCAGTGTGTGCTTGCAGCCTGGAAGGCCAACTGGGCTGCATTATAAAAGGGGTGACCAGCAGGCAGGGGGAGGTGATTGTCCCCCTCTACTCGGCTCTTGTGAGGCCTCATCTGCAGCACTTCGTCCAGGCCTGGGGCCCCCAGTACAGGAAGGACGTGGAGCTCTTGGAGCGGGTCCAGAGGAGGGCACTGAGATGGTCAGAGGGCTGGAGCACCTCTGCTGTGAGGAAAGGTTGAGGGAACTGGGCTTGATTAGCTTGGAGAAGAGAAGGCTCCGGGGAGACCTCATTGTGGCCTTCTGTCACGGGGTTATCCTTAGATATAAGGGGGGCACAGGCCCCGGGAAGAAAAAAAAAAAAAAAAAAAAAAAAAAAAAGAAATACAAACGGTTTGCCCCAGGCCACGTGTGCTCTGGGAGAGGGGGAAGGGCAGAGAGCTAGCCCATAGTTCTAACAAAGAGAAAACACAACGGCAACGATCTGAGGAGGAAGGGTAATTTACCGAATTTAACGAAATCAAACAAAACGAGAGAGACGAGAGTATCAAAAAATGAGAGCCAAATCGCGGCAGTGCGAGGGAAAGCACGTCCTTTCTCCGCGGCGAGCCGACACGGCCGAGCCGGGCAGACGGGGAGAGGCAGCCGCTCCGGGTCCGCAGCTCCGCCCCACTGCCTCTGCCCGCCAGCTCCTCCGGGAGGCCGCCCCCTCCCGTCCCTTCAGGATGCTCAAAGAGTCCATGACAGTAAACGGAACCGGAACGTTCACTCGTTAACTCCCACTGGTCTACGTGATGTTATGATGTGGAGTACTGACAACAAAAAACTCACGAAACCACAACACCTTCCAGTATTTCAATGGAGCGTATAAACAGGAGGGGGAATGGTTGTTTACGAGGGTGGATAGTGGTTGGACAAAGGGAATGGTTTTAAAGTGAGACAGGACAGGTTTAGGTTGGATATGAGGAGAAAGTTTTTCAGCCAGAGGGTGGTGAGGCACTGGAACAGGTTGCCCAAGGAGGCTGTGGATGCCCCATCCCTGCAGGCATTCAAGGCCAGGCTGGATGTGGCTCTGGGCAGCCTGGGCTGCTGGTTGGCGACCTGCACACAGCAGGGGGTTGGAACTGGATGAGCATTGTGCTCCTTTGCAACCCAGGCCATTCTGTGATTCTGTGATTCTGTGATGTTGTCTCGACAGAGGCGGCTCCTCTTGACTCAGCAGACACAGCTCAAACTAGAGATTCCTCTCTGTTTTCAGCCAAGTCCCGGGGTGTTCATCAGGAGGCAGGAGGATTAAGAGGGCTGGTTTTCGGCAGGGAGGGTCTGACTTGAAGAGAGCAACACATTTTCTGTGCCAAAGGAAACTCTTCCTAATGCTTTTCTTCCAAGGTTGAAAATCTTGTGTGCTGGCATGTGTCCCATACAACATACATTCCATCCCAAGCACAGCCACAGGGTTGTTCTTAACAAAAAGCCCCACCTGCGGTTTGACAGTCAGGGAAAGGAGATGCCTACACATCAGGGAGCAGGGCAAGGTGAGGAGCAGAGGCACGGGAGCAGGATGATGGGGAACCAGCCTTCCCACAGGGTTTTCTAAGAGGTCAGTGGATCTGAGTGTGCTTGGCAGGACTGATTGACAGCACAGACACCACTCCGCTACACCTTCCTCTTCCCCTTGTGTCTTGCAGCATCCCCTTCCATTAAGCTCCTGGTGGATGACCCGATAGTGGTGAACCCTGGAGAAGCGGTCACCCTGGTCTGTGTGACAACAGGAGGGGAGCCAGCCCCCAGCCTGACGTGGGTGAGGTCTGCCGGCGGCCTGCCTGAGAAGACTGTCCTCAATGGTGGGACATTGACCATACCGGCCATCGCGTCAGAGGATGCTGGCACCTACAGCTGCGTCGCCAATAACAACGTTGGAAATCCTGCCAAGAAATCCACCAACATCATCGTAAGAGGTAAGCTGAGCTGGGAAATCAGCAGCCTTTACTTTGGGGGATAAACTGAACCATAATCTGGCAGGACAGCCATGTGCACAAAGGGGTGTCCTACTTTTCTAAACACATTTCTGATCATTTCTAATGATGCATGAGATTAATTGGTGCTGACTTCAGATAGCCAGTGGCTCTTGTGGTAGGTCCAAAGCCCATAGTTGGCCCAAGGGTGCAGTGGAGCCCCTTTGCACCACAAAGATGCAGCAGTTCTCCCACTCAAACCAGAGATGAACACTTGCCAAAGGCCACGATGGGCATTGCGTGTGGTGGGAAGACTCGGCCATCCTCTGCACACCCCCTTTTGGCAGTGCCTTCCAGGCAAGAGCCATGGCAGAGTATCCCTCCGAGTGGCCCTGAGCTCCAGGAGGTGTCATTTCCTACTTCACCCTTTTCTTCCTCCTCATCAGCTGAGTGTGATACAGAAATGAAGGCTGTTGTGCACGCTGTGAGTCTGCTGCCATCAGATGACTGCTCCCTGGGTAGGAGCTTTAGATTAGTATCTATGCTTTAATTATGCAAAATAGTAGGATAAATGTCTTTCTTAGATAAAAGGAAGCGAGGAGTGCTTGCAGAGCAATTACTGTCAGGTGGAAAGAAACTCTCCCCACTTGTTTACTGCTTTCTGGATAACCCCAGGGACGTGGCCAGTTGGTTTGAAGGAAGAGTTCACTTGGCTGGTGGGCATCACCTGAGTGGATTAATGTACCTGAAGCGAACAGTTCATCTGAAACTAATTTTCTATAATCTAATCTATGAATGCTACTGAAACACGTTATGGGAACTTTAAATAATGCCATGTGATTAATCATACTTAGGAGAAACTGCTATATAAGGAGCCAGTGGTGTGAGTATTTTATGAGAGCCATAACCCCTGTTCTCTTCGTGTTGCCCAACATATTACACTCTTCAGCAGGATGATGAATTGGAAGCTATTTGTGTTCAGGGGGTCGGGGAGAGAGCGTCGCATCAGCCTAGGTCTGCAGGAGTTTATCAGGAGAAGTCCATAGATTTATTTGTAATACGGTATTTCCATTTGAATTTTTTGACATTTGGCTTAGGGGGTTTGTTGTCAAGAGGCGAAAGCAGTGTTGTTTCAAGAGCACAGCATCGACATTAATTTGCTGTGATTTACAACGGTGATGAGGTTGTGAAGGAAAGGTGGGAGTGAAGCACTCGCTCAGAATAAGCAAAGGGAGAGGAAAGGCTTTGTGTGAAAAGAAATCCGAGCATTTTAATTGACCCAGCAGACAGCACCGGGGAGCCCAGAGGAAAAACCAAGTCCCTAGCTCCCTGCAGATACAAATTTCATGAGTCATAGCATAATAATGATATGCCCTCACATTTTTATTTATAGAAGCCCATGCCTATGAGATGCCTAGGAGCTGCAAAACGTTGAACAAAATATCATTAAAACATTTGAGGAAGGTTTTTTTCTTCTTCTCTGCTGCATGGCTGTTAAATCTGAGAAGGAAGCAGCACAAGGAACACTTCCCCATCCAGTCCTGCAGTGCAGAATCCCAGAACACTGCTGCTATGATTTTCCCTTTCACTATTATTTCTGATTAAGGAAAGGACTGTCTTAAAAAAAACCTCTTTTTTATTCTGGTCTTATATTTAGACGTACTAAAAGGAACATTGAGAAAAGCAGCAAAATACGAGAAGAATTCATATCCGAGTCTGGATTTTGTTCCTTAGCACTTTGCCTGCAGCTCATTGCTGCTCTCTCTTTCATCTTTTTTTGTTGTTGTTGTTGTTGTTTATCAGAATTCTCACACCGCAGCTGAGGAGAAAGGAGCATTAACTTGAAATGGCAACTGAGCCTAGCAGGAGAAGCATTTGATAATTGGAGTTTGCAGCTTCTCTCACGTTGGACTACTGAGCCCAGGAATAGACAGTAATCCCCCAGTCTTACATAGATAGAAATGTAAAGATGTAAAAAGTGCCATCAGGGCTTGGATTAAATTTGTTCCTGTTAAAATTCACTAACTTTCGCCATGCTTTTATCTGAACATTTCTTTTTTTGTGTGTGCTTCATCCCATTGATGCTACCTTATCTTCAGGAAGCTTTTGGCATTTTCCTGTCTTTGTAGCTGACTGCCCAAATTCATAAATGCCCATCACACCTTCCTTTGAATCCATTATGAATGATGCCACATGACTGCCACACATTTAATTAGAAAAAAAACAACCTAAAATCAGAGAGAGTCTTTGAAAAAAGAAAGAATAAGTACCTAAATGTCCAGGGTGTAAGTAATTGGCTTCTGGGTCTGCTCCGAGCTGCACAAGCAGCAGAGGGGTAGCAGATGCTACTAATGATTTTGGTGCATTGCTTTCTGTTAGCTCCCAGGACGGACCTGCAGCCTTCCAATGTTCAAATGCATTTAATGTGTTCTGGTTTTTTGCTAGTACTCATTTTCCTGCCCTCCCAATGAGCATGGCATGGAAGATTTTTCTAAAAGCGAACTGGGTGGACCAAAGCTGCTATTGCAACAAAGAACCCATTTAGTTACAACCATCTTTGGGTGTTGTTTTTTCTCTCTTTCGCCCTGTATGCTTTAAGCAGGAGATAAGTAAAGGACTCAGAGAACAATGCTTTTCCAGCTGGCACAGATCCCTCTATAACAAGGCCATGTGCCATTTAACTGGTGGAGTCACCATTTAGTGGGAAATGCAGTGAAATGCAGCTTTTGTGAAGAACGTCATTATCAGTTTAACTCTACCCAAAATTATTGCAAAATGCTTCATTGCACCAAAGAAATTGTCATCTGTCAAGGTGTCTGGGATAAAACAGAGATAGAGGGAATGCTATCTCATTTCAGCAGAGCTGGCTGCTCACCAATTCTAATTATGAAAGTTTCTTTTTGAGTCTTTTCTTTAGATTAGTGAGTTCTTTAAATGATTGCAAGGCTGCCAGCGTTTGAGTGTTGTTGGGTGTTCTCATCAGTGGCATCTCCACTTCCTGCTCTCAAGCTGATGAGCAGAGTAGCTGCCCTTAATGTATTTCTAGACAAAGCCATTCGAAAGCAGAGGAAGCTCTAAGGGAATCTTGATTCCTCTCATTTGATTAAGACTTGAAGTTTTTCTCCTTCTCTTTAAAAATAAAAATAAAAAACCTCCGGTAGCAAATCACATGCCACCCCCTCCAGACAGAGCTCCCATCTACCTTCCAGTCTGATGTACAGATTTGTTGCTCCTCCTGCTTGGGTGATGTTCTGTTCTTCTGACTTTTCCCCTGTAATATTTTTCTGATGTAGAAGTAATAAATCATGAAGGTCAGGGAGATGGAAGTCTGATGTACTTCTTTCAGAGCACTTTCCAACCCTGAATACCTGTGTTGGATCACTTTCATCACGAATTTATCACTATGTACCTTTGTTGGTTGCAATTCGAAGTAAATTACAAGTAGTCTTCTTACGCATGTTTTTTAAGTCCAGATAAACAGCAAACATGCATCGGTATTTCACCACCCTTGGACCAGCACACATGGTGACACGGCTACTTCCTGATGTCCCACGCATGCATGGCACTGCAGAAAGGCTTCACATTATTGTCAGCTCAGCAGTTAAAGGCCTTGTCTGTGATACGGCCCCACGCTCAGTTCCTCCACCTGCTCAGACACGGGATGTTGGACATCTAGCTTCTCCTATGTCCCAGGAAGCTCTTCTGGCCTGGGAGTCTCTTAGACTTGGCTCTTGGAGGTATTTCACTCCTTAAAGATTCTTCCGTGTTTGTCTGGAGAAGGTAGCACAAGGTATTAGAGTAATATTGACCTTGTGAACTTCAAGATACTGCATAGGATCCTCATCGTCACAATACCATTCTGCCTTTGGGTGACAATTGGGTGACAATTTGGGTGTCAAAAGAGAAAAGAATCAAAGTAGTTGTGTGTCTGTGCCTTCTAGAAAATGAAGACATCTTCATCATGACACAAACTGGTACTCAAATTATGAGAACATGGAAATAAAAATATTCCAAAAATGCCGTGAAGAAGAAAATGAAAAAAAAGAATCTCTCTGTAGATACCAGGATGTCACTGACGAACAAAGGATTTGCTAACAAGGGGTGCAGGGTGGCTCTTCCATCCAATAAGAGAGCAGAACTGCTGGGTCACATCTTAAAAAACCATCTGTGCATCACAATGGGAAAGTGGTAGAGCAGCGTTTTACAGGTCTTCAAACATGTAGCACTGATATTGTTGGGAAGGATGTCAACATACACGAGCTCAATTCTTTGCCTCTTCAGCAAGTTCTCCCATTACCTTCTTTAAACATATTCCATCGTCTGTTTCATTGCAACTGCAGCATTATTTTAGTGCCAATTGACTCTGAGACTGTGACTTTTCCTTTCTTTGAAGTGGAAACATAATGTCTAGAGTTAATTTTTTCAAAGGGGTGGGATTCCCTGCCAGTTTAAATATAAAATAATAATTTTAAATAACCTGTGCTCTACATTAGCACAAAAGCTTTTGCTGAACAAAAAGCACTCTGGAGAAATGCAATTTAAGGCTGAGATTGCTGGAAGTACCTATCCCATTATGCCTTTAAAAACTATACATGAACTATGTAATAGTGATTGCTGAAAGGAAAATGGGGAAAAAAAAAAAGATCAAGATTGTGAAATAAATTATATTTCTGTTACTTTTGTGTTAGATTAAAAATTAAAAAAATATTGAAATCTGGTATTTCTGACGTGCATTCTTGCACTCCTGGCTTCCCTTCTGCTTGCCCATTGTGGCTCTATTTATCCCATAGCTTCTCTGGAATTTCCCTTGTTGGCTTAGAGTGATTGCATGACCTAAAATCTAGAATGATATCTCTGAGTTTGTACATCAGCATCTTTGCTGTCAGTCCTGAGAGACCCTCCAATGTTAACAGTGGAAATGTGAGTAGGGCTGGTGGCCAGTGCCAGAACAGAGCTGTGGCTCACAGGTATGTGCAAGAGGTGAGATTTGGCTTCTGGGAGTG